CACTTTGAGGCCACCACCATCCTGTGACCCGTCCTTAGAGACTAGTTCAGTGCAGGTAACCTCATCATTGGCTGGTTATTATTATTGGCATACTGTAGTACAGTAAGGTGATACACCGGTCCTCAGTTAAAGCGTGCAGAGATGCTGACGTTCTTCATGAGATTATTTTGTGCTTCAGTGGAGTCAGAAACAGAAGCTCACGCTGTTTCCATAACAAATACTAAATGTGCTCCAGTAACGGCAGATGAATCTGAGGTTAACGGCACTTAATGACCTGGAAACACGTTATTTAAAGAGAAGCAGTTTGCAAATCTGTCTGTTTTACATGTTGAAAAATGGATCTCATCTTCAGTGCAGATGTAGATATAAACGTCCAGGGATTCTCAAACTTCTGTCTTCATCCGCTTGAACCCCTTTGAGCTGAAATATTGTCTTGAAGTCCCCCTTACATTTAGTTCATATGAAGTTCATATTTCAGTAATTTAACAACACATTCACATGATTCTCTGATGTAGATCAATTAGGGCTGCAACTAACGATTATTTTGATAATCGATTAGTTGATCGATTATTTTTCCGATTAATCGGATTAAAAACAAAAAAAAATCTTTTTTTATTTTTATTGACAAAAACACACTGTTCCACATTCTGCCCAATGTCCTTAAAACAAACGTGCCAACTGAATGCTATGAAAACATACAGTGCTTAACAATTTATTAGACCCCCTGCCATAACAAAGAGAAAACACATTTTAGGAATTTTAGGAATCTGTCAAAAAATTGTTTAAATCAAAAAAAAATTATTGTCATTTATTTATAACTAAATACTTTTATTTATTCACATAACAAAAATGGCGATCAATGGTCACGTGACATTCAGCTCAACTAATAAAATATTTAATATTTTTTAGAAAGTGCCTGATTTTGTTTTTATTTTGAAATGTATTTATTTTAATTTGATATTTTTAGTATTTTATTCATTTTGATGGTTTGAATTTCAAATAAGTTTTATTTATTGATTGTTTTATTTAAATTTTATGCTTTAATTATTTTATTAATTTGTGATTGCTTTATTTTAAACTTAATTGTATTTATTTATGTTTAATTTTCCATTTTTATTATTTTATTCAGTTGTTTTTTTTATTAAAACATTTATTAAATTTTTATGTTTTTAATGTTTTTATTAATTTGTTATTTATTTTAAATGAATAATTTTTTATGTATTATTTGAATTTTACATTTGAATTATTTTACTCATTTGTGTTTATTTTAAACTACTTTAATTTTATTTACTTCATTTGAATGTTACTTTATTTAAAATTTTATTTTATTTAATGATATTTTACAATATGATTATTTTAGTAGTTTAATTTAAAAATATTTATTTTATTTTTGTTTAATCATCATTTTTATGATTGATTAATTATTAGCTTTTCATCATCTCTGTTTGGGGAACCTTCTTTAAATAACCCATTGTTAGGAACAGAGAGTGTAAATGGGTGAAGTTATGAACTCATCTAATGAATCATTTATGGAGCAGATGGTTCACAAACAGGACAAGCAGAAGCTGCGGTGATTATGGATATTAAAGCATGATCGTGGTCTGTAAGCGCAGGTGTTGAGATGTTCTGGGTTCTGATGTTTCTCAGTCGTTCCTCTGAGTGTCGATCGAGCTGAAGAAGCTTCTCGAGTATCAGAACAGATGATCTGTGCCTCGAGTGTTTATTTCCATGCCTCGGGTCAGAGATGATGATACCAGATCAGCACGCACACACACACACACTCACACACACTCACACACGCACGCACTCACACGCACGCACTCACACACTCACACACACACACACACACTCACACTCTCGCACACACACACACACACTCACACTCTCGCACACACACACACACACTCACACTCTCGCACACACACACACACACTCACACTCTCGCACACACACACACACACTCACACTCTCGCACACACACACACACACTCACACTCTCGCACACACACACACACACTCACACTCTCGCACACACACACACACACTCACACTCTCGCACACACACACACACACTCACACTCTCGCACACACACACACACACTCACACTCTCGCACACACACACACACACTCACACTCTCGCACACACACACACACACTCACACTCTCGCACACACACACACACACTCACACTCTCGCACACACACACACACACACTCACACACACTCACACACGCACACACTCGCACACACACACTCACACGCGCGCACGCACACACTCGCGCACACTCACAAACTCACACACACACACTCACACACTCGCACACACACACTCGCACACACACACTCACACTCTCGCACACACACACTCACACGCGCTCACGCACACTCGCACACACAGACTCGCACGCACGCTCACACACACACACACACACGCGCTCACGCACACTCGCACACACAGACTCGCACGCACGCTCACACACACACCAATACCCATGTCATTACTCATTATACACATTTGTGTCCTCACAATAAACCATACCAGAACACACTCACACACACACACACACACACACACACACACATTTATTTATACACACACACAGGAAGTGCTGCTGTTCTACTTACAGAGCGACTCACCACAGAATCATGAGTGTGTTTGTTGATCTTGTTACTTTGTATCGCAGCGCTGCTGAATGCTGCATTCTAATTGGCTGACAGGTGTTACTTTCAAGCTATAGATGTTCTATAGTTGCTATGAAGTTGTGTATTTCTAAACATGCTATATATATAATTTAGTATTAGTGTTTGTGTTAGTCTTTAGTTAGTCATTATTATTGGCTTTATGTAAGCAGCACACCTTTATGGTATGTTCTTGTTTAAATAAACCTGTGTGTGTGTGTGTGTGTTTAGTTCAGAGGAACCTGCGGTGCTTCATCACAGATCATCAGGTGTGAGTGTTTGACAGGGAGAGACTGATCTCAGGTCTGGTTTTACCCAAGGAGACGTGTGACAGATGACGGTCAGTTTGGTGTCTGTCTGTGATCTTCACTGAGACTCGAAACACTGTTGTTTTCTTTGTGCATCACTGATGTGTTTGTCACTGCGTCTGCGAGTCAAACGTGTTCTTGTACTTGATTTTTTTTTTATGTGCACTTGTGTGTTTTTTTCCTGATTTGTTGAAATGCTGCTTCTTTTCTAATGCACTTGGGATTTCAGTATACAGATTTACAGGTTTTCTTTTTTTTTTTTTGGTAATACTTACATTTTAATAAAAATGTAAAGCATATATACAGTATATAGCAGCTCTAGTGCCCAGCATAGCTTTCAGATGTGAACATCGTTGTTTGAGAGATTTTCAGCCCTGATTGAAATGACTCTGAAGTTTCTCTTTACCATAAATGACATGAGAGAGAGAGAGAGAGAGAGATAATGATGTAATGACACAGCGAGGGAATTCACTTCACTTCTGTTACTTCAGTTTTTCCCACAAACCTCTTCATATCATGAGTTTGAACAGCTGGAGAGATACAAACCTTTGTGTGTTTGTGTGATATATGACTGTAGGTGTGTGTTTGTGTTGTCTGCAGGGTGTGTAACCGTCTGAGTGGCAGTAATATGGATCTGGAGCGCGTCGGTCAGCAGGGGTCAGTGGAGAATCTCAGCCAATCACTGCGAGGACTGAACTGCTGCACCAATGCATCCAGCGACAGCCTGCAGGCGCTCTCCGACACCGGTGAGCTACACACGGACACTCTGTTTATTTGTTGGTTTTATTTATTAATTAAATTTTTTTATTATTTTATAATTATTTATTAATTTTTTTTATTTTTTATATTTTGTTATTTGTATTATTTATTTTATTAATATTTATTTATTTTATTTTTATTTTATCAATTTTAAAAAGTTAGGTTGGGTATCACCCAAATAAACATAAATAAACTCAAAACACAAAAGGTTTTTAAATATATTTTACTCACAAATACTGCCTGGTTAAAAATATTTAGAGCTTAGCATAACTAGTAAAATATTATTCATTATAAAACACCTATTCAGCTTTAAGACTTTTCCTATTTATTCATTTATTTGTATTATTTATTTTATTAATATTTATTTATTTTATTTTTATTTTATCAATTTTAAAAAGTTAGGTTGGGTATCACCCAAATAAACATAAATAAACTCAAAACACAAAAGGTTTTTAAATATATTTTACTCACAAATACTGCCTGGTTAAAAATATTTAGAGCTTAGCATAACTAGTAAAATATTATTCATTATAAAACACCTATTCAGCTTTAAGACTTTTCCAGGTCTTGAAATCACACTTTTAAAATTAGACTTTTTTCCAAAATGTGGTTATTCAAAGACAAAAACAGTTTAAGCTAATTCTTGGTTTTTAGTTGTTGTTTTGTCTTGTATTAAATCATTTTAAGTCATGTACAAGCTCTTCCAAACGCTGATGCTTGTATTTTTCATCAATACAGCTGTCCCAGAATGCATTGCAAAAGGCTCTTAAATGACAGATGGTGTTGAGGGGAAAAAAAACATTAGGTCTAATTAAAAAAGGACTATTTTGTGTCATATTTGTGTGTATTTATTTAGTCATTAGATTGAGAATAGAGTTTCTGCTCATGTAGGTTGTTTTTAATCAGTCTCATGAGGTTTAATTTGAGTTTCTGAAGGGAACTTCCTGTGTAGGCAGCAGAGGGATGTTCACTAGGGTTTGAAACTGAACGAACGTCTATAAACAGACTGTGTTATTGTGAATGAAACTTCCTTTCTTGATAATCAGCGGTGATGAGAAGGGAACATCAGACGCCGCTCTTCCTCCTGATCTTCAGGCTCACAGCTGTGATAGGCTGTCATACTGTGTAGGTGTGTGTAGTGTGTTCCCATGCACCGGGGCGCAGAGATAATGGAGGGTTAAATAGAGGAAATCAAGGTTTGTGTTTATCACAGGGCGTTTTCTGATGGTTTCCCTCATGAAGTCACTGATCTTCATCTGCAGGCCTATATTAACGCGTCACAAACCACTGAGAGACTCCATCACAGGATCTGATGATCTCTGAAGGATTCATGGTTGTGGAGTTTGTGTGCATGAGCGCGTGAGTGTGCGAGTGCGAGCGAGTGTGAGTGTGCGATTGAGTGTGAGTGTGTGACAGTGTGAGTGTGCGAGAGAGTGCGAGAATGAGTGTGCGAGTGTAAGAGTGTGCGAGTGTGGTAGTGTTGAGAGTGGGAGTGGGAGAGTGTGAGTGAGTGTGAGTGTGCGAGAGTGAGTGTGCGTGTACGTGTGTGAGTGTTAGAGTGCGAGTGTGCGATTGAGTGTGTGAATGTGAGTGTACGAGTGTGAGAGTGTGCTACTGTTGAGAGTGTGAGTGCGCGAGAGTGAGTATGCATGTACGTGTGTGAGTGTTAGAGTGAGAGTGCAAGAGAGTGCAAGTGAGAGTGCGAGCGAGTGTGAGTGTGCGATTGAGTGAGTGTGCGACAGTGTGAGTGTGCGAGAGAGTGCGAGAATGAGTGTGCGAGTGTAAGAGTGTGCGAGTGTGGTAGTGTTGAGAGTGAGTGTGAGTGTGAGTGTGCGAGAGTGAGTGTGCGTGTACGTGTGTGAGTGTTAGTTAGTGAGAGTGAGGGTGAGTGTGTGATTGAGTGCAAGCGAGTGCTAGTGTGAGAGTGCGTGTGATTATGAGTGTGCGATTGAGTGCAAGCGAGTGTGAGAGTGTGTGTGTGTGTGAGTGTGAGTGTGCGAGTGCAAGCAAGCGAGTGTAAGCAAGCGAGTGTGAGAGTGAGTGTGAGTGTGCGATTGAGTGCAAGCGAGTGCGAGAGTGAGAGTGTGTGTGCGTGTGAGTGTGAGTATGTGTGTGTGTGTGTGTGTGTGTGTGTGAGAGTGTGTGTGTG